AAATACTTTTACATGCACTGTTTAAGAACTGTTTAAAAACCCAAAGCACCTACCTCCAGCCTTTGTACCACTTCTTTCATGTCCTCCGTCTGACTCTCCAACATACTAATTGATACAGAGTCCCCACGCTCATAGAAGACATCTAAACAGGGTCCCCCGTCCTTTGTTTCTGTCATCGCCTTCCATCCGATGACGTCTCGACAGGAGCAGTTAAACACCACCCTGCGACTGCACCTTTCGATTAGCACCACTGACTCTGCAGACACACCGAGCAAGCAGGGGAGCTTCTGCTGCTCCCCGGCCTCCGGGTCATCGCTGCTGTTGACCATCACCGCCCACACCAGAGCTCCAGCGCTGTGCAGCTCAGCTCCTTTGGCGCCTTTCATCTTGTCTTTACGTTTGCTCCCAAGGGAGAGGAGGGGGAACTTGGTTGAGGAGTCAATAGGGGTTGTGGTCACATAGTTTTCTGCCAGATCCTTCAGGTATTCCTGCCGAGTGCGGGTGGCCATAGAGCGAAACTTCTCTGATTTCTCTGCAGCGTTCTCAGCGTTTACTACCTTCGCCAGGAGGAAGTCTCTGAAGGCAGGCACGCGGGGAAACCGCGCGCCTTTGGGAAACAGAGGGCCAAATAACGGGATGTCTTTGGAGCGTGTCACGGCCACTCTAAAAGGAGAGAGGAAAAGAGAAACGGATGAGTAAGAGTGTGAAAGGTTCAGCGCAAACAATCTATGTCCTGTTTTCAGCGCAGCAGAGTGGGAGACTGTTTTCTCCTCACACCTTCAGTGATGTGGCTCTTACACTTGTAGTAGCAGCCAATCCAACTCTGGCTCCCAGCATGGCGACCAAGAAACTGGAAAACTCTCTTTTCCTCACTGGTTTTAGGTATTACTGATCATTTTAACCAGCTGTTTACATAATAAGCAAAAAAGTCAACATATTTCTTCTCTGACAGGCTTTGCACTGAATAAACTAATTGATTTTAGTGTAGAAGATGATAAAATGCTGAGAAACATTCTTTTAAATAATGTTACTCTTAATGTAAGTATACTTCTATCTTTAATCAAAATAAAAATGTTAATAATAAATCTCATCTCTTTTTTCTTCAAAATACAACAGATTAAAATAAAACACAAAAAAGGTTATTTGGATCAAAATCATCATCTCAATCAATAAAAAGGTTAAAGTGTATCCAGATTGAAGTGTAAAAAATTAAAAAACTACTAAATTCCCTAATGTTATTATCAGTGTTCTTTGTAATAAACATGTTTGATCCCATGTAACATTAGTCTGTAAAGAAATCCTCCATATATTTTTACTTAAAGCATTATGGGTAAAAGAAATGACAAAAATCAGAGTCACCTGTAGTAGGTGTGATCAGTGCCGGGCTCGTGAACCTGAACGATGATGAAGACGTGCTGGAAATGTGAGCGGATGGACTTTGGGGTGAAGGGGAGGGCGCCCGGCTCCTGGAACACGATCGTCACGATGTCGTTTCCTATGTGTCGCTTCCTGAGCAGCTGATCAGACAAAACCAGGACACAAAGACAAGAGTTATACAAACTCATTTTAACACCTCAAACAATCCTGCTTTACACATTAACGTTTATTACATCTTTCAAACTAAACCTATATAGTAATATCAATTTCTCCCCAAAGTTTATTTCCTGTTACCTGAGAACAGTTCTTAGTCATTAAACGTCTAATAAACAATGTATGACTCAGTTGAAATATGTTTCCATTACCAGTTACTGTAGTTTAAATAGGCCGATATATATGATATACAAAGTCCGCTGTGCTGGTGTCCTCAACACCTTTCTTTGAAGTTGCTTTAGATCAGCCTGTTTTTCCAGTGTAGTCCTGTTTCTCTGACTGTGACTAACTGGATGTGGTCTCTTCATCCTCTGACATGGGAGCTTGTCTGCCTGGCTGTGTGTTTCCTGGACAGGGCTGCCTGTGGAGCTAGTTGATATTTGCCTTTTATATCTCTG